TTTATTTTTAAAAATTTCATATTTAATAGCTTTTTATATTGTTTATTTATAAAATGTTATTAACAAATAGTGTTCTTGACGTCATACAGGAAATTTAAATTTTTTTTGAATTCCCCACACAGTTTTGTGTAAGAAACCGTTGAGAAAAAAATGAGACTCAATTAGGAAAAAAGTTATTTATTTATAATTGCCGCCGAGCGTGCACGACCCTACTGCACTGGCGCAACACTACGTATTTACACATCGCACAGCGGCAATTATTAATAAATAACTTTTTTCCTAATTGAGTATCATTTTTGTTTAACGGTTTCTTACACAAAATTGTGTGGAGAATTCAAAAAAAAATTTTAATTTTCTGTAAAAATGGGAATTTAAAATTTAAAAAAACGTAACAAATTTAATTTTTACAGTGTAAAAATCTTTTTTTATTAATTTTGTATTTTTGAAATCTTATATAATTATTGTAAATAATTATAATAAATATAATAATTATTATTATAGTTATTATAATTATAACAATAATTCCAAATTAAAAAAAAAATTAACGGGACGGGAATCGATACCACGACCTTTGGGACTATAGACAGGCGCCATATCCACAGCACCACTGAACCGGTGATTACTCCCTTCATTCACTAAGTATGTGAACGGTTAGAAGCAGAAGTGAGTCACTTATTTCAATTCGTTAAAATTTTTACTCATTCAAATTTAGAGAGTAAAAATAAATATTTTCAAAATTTTACATAGTTAAGGAAAAATTCTCAGCATAATTTGATAAAAAAACTAGTTTTTAAAATTTGTTCAAAACTAATTTCAAGAAATCCTATCGACCTCTCATTAAGCGAATGAAAATTAGAAAAAATTAAATTCTATTGTTTAAAAATAATTATTGTAAATAATTATAGTAAATATAATTATTATTATATTTATTATAATTATAACAATTATTCCAAATTAAAAAAAAAATTAACGGGACGGGAATCGATACCACGACCTTTGGGACTATAGACAGGCGCCATATCCACAGCACCACTGAACCGGTGATTACTCCCTTCATTCACTAAGTATGTGAACGGTTAGAAGCAGAAGTGAGTCACTTATTTCAATTCGTTAAAATTTTTACTCATTCAAATTTAGAGAGTAAAAATAAATATTTTCAAAATTTTACATAGTTAAGGAAAAATTCTCAGCATAATTTGATAAAAAAACTAGTTTTTAAAATTTGTTCAAAACTAATTTCAAGAAATCCTATCGACCTCTCATTAAGCGAATGAAAATTAGAAAAAATTAAATTCTATTGTTTAAAAATAATTATTGTAAATAATTATAGTAAATATAATTATTATTATATTTATTATAATTATAACAATTATTCCAAATTAAAAAAAAAATTAACGGGACGGGAATCGATACCACGACCTTTGGGACTATAGACAGGCGCCATATCCACAGCACCACTGAACCGGTGATTACTCCCTTCATTCACTAAGTATGTGAACGGTTAAAAGCAGAAGTGAGTCACTTATTTCAATTCGTTAAAATTTTTACTCATTCAAATTTAGAGAGTAAAAATAAATATTTTCAAAATTTTACATAGTTAAGGAAAAATTCTCAGCATAATTTGATAAAAAAACTAGTTTTTAGAATTTGTTCAAAACTAATTTCAAGAAATCCTATCGACCTCTCATTAAGCGAATGAAAATTAGAAAAAATTAAATTCTATTGTTTAAAAATAATTATTGTAAATAATTATAGTAAATATAATTATTATTATATTTATTATAATTATAACAATTATTCCAAATTAAAAAAAAAATTAACGGGACGGGAATCGATACCACGACCTTTGGGACTATAGACAGGCGCCATATCCACAGCACTACTGAACCAGTGATGACACCCTGCATTCACTAAATATGTGAACGGTTCGAAGCAGAAGCAGCTTGTATAATTATAAAAAATTATAAATATTAATGGCCAAATTATAGTTTTATCTGTACGATTTAAAATTTTTAAAAATGGGAATTTTAGGTAATTTCACATATAGAAAATGAAAATAAACAAGTTCTAAATTCAAAGTATTTTAAACTGAATGGTAGAGGAATTCTTTTAACCTTGACAATGTTTGGAGAATTATTGATTTCTCAAAGACATATTTAATTTAACAAATCTTCAAATCAGAGTTTGAAAATGTAACCTCAAAAATTCGAATTTTCTTAAATAAAAAATTCCAGAAATTTCAAAGTGTACAACAAATTAAATCGAATTTTTTTTAATTTTCTTGTACATAATTTATGTTTGTATTTTTGAAAAATCTGATCTTTGTTGAGAAGATTTATTTCTTTCAAGGTTAATACTTACTTTACTGCTCGATAAATCAGAATTAGTAAATATGTTTACTAATTTGTTTTAGTGACTCACTTTTTGCTATTGTTTTAGTAAAATTTTACTAATAATTAGTAACGTTTACTAATAATTAGTGAAATGTAAATAACTAAATATCAAAAAGTGAGTCACTTATTTCAATTCGTTAAAATTTTTACTCATTCAAATTTAGAGATTAAAAATAAATATTTTTAACATTTTACATAGTTAAGGAAAAATTCTCAACATAATTTGAAAAAAAACTAGTTTTTGGAATTTGTTCAAAACTAATTTCAAGAAATCCTATCGACCTCTCATTAAGCGAATGAAAATTAGAAAAAATTAAATTCTATTGTTTAAAAATAATTATTGTAAATTAATAAATTAATAAATACTATACTATAAATTAATAAATAATTATAATAAATATAATAATTATTATTATATTTATTATAATTATAACAATTATTCCAAATTAAAAAAAAATTAACGGGACGGGTATCGATACCACGACCCTTGGGACTATGGACATGCGCCATATCCACAGCACCACTGAACCAGTGATGACTCCCTGCATTCACTAAGTATGTGAACGGTTTGAAGCAGAAGCAGCTTGTATAATTATAAAAAATTATAAATATTGATGGCAAAATTATAGTTTTATCTGCACGATTTAAAATTTTCAAAAGAGGGAATTTTAGGATATTTCACTTATAGAAATTCAGATTAAACAAGTTCAAAATTCAAAGTATTTTAAACTGAATGGAAGAGGAATTCCTTTAACCTTGAGAATGTTTGGAGAATTATTGATTTCTCAAAGACGTATTTAATTCAAAAAATCTTCAAATAAGAGTTTGAAAATGTAACCTCAAAAACAAATTAAATACAATTTTTTTTATTATCCTGTGTATAATTTATGTTTGTATTTTTGAAAAATCTGAATTTTGTTAACAAGATTTATTTCTTGCAAGTTTAATACTATTTTTCTACTCCCTAAATCTGAATTAGTAAATTTGTTTACTAATTTCAATTTGTGACTCACTTTTTGCTATTGGATTAGTAAAACATTACTAATAACTAGTAACGTTTACTAATAATTAGTGAAATTTAACTAATTTAAAATCAAAAAGTGAGTCACTAATTTCAATTAGTTAAAATTTTTACTCATTTAATTTAAAGAGTAAAAATAAATATTTTTATAATTTTGCATAGTTAAAAAAAAATTAGTAAAATTTGAAAATAAAACTAATTTTTTGAATATGTTCAAACTAATTTCAAGAAATCCTATCGACCTCTTATTGTGCGAATGAAAATTAGAAAAAATTAATTTATTTTAATCAGGGATGGCTTCTTATATAGTCTACTTCACTATAAAAGTTTTTATTATTGTGAGGTGGACTATACATGAAGCCAACACTGATATTAATTAAAAATAATTATTGTAAATAATTATAATGAATATAATAATTATTATCATAGTTAAAATAATTATAACAATAATTCAAAATAAAAAAAAATTAACAAAACGGGAATCGATACCACGACCCCTGGGACTATAGACAGGCGCCATATCCACAGCACCACTGAACCAGTGAGTACTGTGTTCTTTTACCATGTATGTAACTGGTTCGAAACAGTTGCAGCTTTTGTAATTTCAAAAATGTATAATTATTGATGGCTAAAGTATTGTTATCATTTTACGATTAGATCATTTTTAAAATGGGTATTTTATGAATTTTTAGATAAAGCAATTCGGACTGAACAAGCTTTTAATTGTTTTAAACAAAAAAATGAGTTGAATTTTTTGACCTTGAGAACGTTTTGAGAATTATTAATTTCCTAAAGCCTTATATTTAAGTTAAAAAATCTTCAAAAAAAACTGTTGAAAATGTAATCTCAAATAGTTGCATTTTCTTAACATAAAAAGTTTTAAAAATTTTTAAATGAACAAAAAATTGAATGAATCTTTTTTTAATTTTGCAGTTTATAATTCATTTGGTATTTTTGAAAAATATGAAATTTTTTAATACAATTTATTTCTTTGAAGTTTATTATTTATTTTAATTAAAATAAAATATTTATTTATAATTTTACATATTGAAAAAAATATATGTTAACATTATTGGAAAAAACTAATTTTTTATTTGTTACTGATGCAAAAAAGTATTCCACAATTTTACTAATAATTAGTTATTTTTAACTAATTCATATTTAGAGAACAAAATAAAATGATTAAAAAGAATGTTTAACAATTTTTAGATTATATTTATTATTATTATTTATTACTATTAATTTATTTTTGGAAATAATTAAAAAATTATTTAAGACAAAAGTCTAATTTCCGGTGTGGACAGTCACATCATTTTTATACGGTCCTGATGTTTGTTTTCAAGAAGACCAACCTTTTTCATTTCATAACATTAAAGTAAGGTTGAAAAAACGGTTGGTTCGAGAAAAACACAACAGTCATATCTCCACACAAGCAAATCTCGGATTTTGAATTTAGCAAAGGGACATGCGCGCGGTCTCTCAGTGTCCACGATGATTGGTTGCCGGAGATAGTTCCCCTTCCCCTGACACTAGCGATTTCGATTCCTCGGCGTCGTTTTTGACGATTTCGAAATTGTAACCTAGTAGCTATTAGTGCATCGTAGTCGTTGGTGGTCTTTGGTTCTGCTGTTGTTGTTTCGTTGGCTATTGCTAGTGGTAAGTTAAATTTCTTTTAAATATAATTATTTTTATCAACTTGGAAATTATTAATTTTTTTTTTGTACATTTATACTTATAACAAAATTTTTCTTTTTCAGGCGTTTTATGGCCAACAAAGGTGCAGAAAAAAGGAAGGCTTCCGCCAAAGCTAAAAACACCGAACCAGCAAAATCAGCCAGATCAACATCGGTAAGTGCTTGTGTGTTTTATTTATTTTTATTTATTTCACTTATTTTATTTGTTTTATTTATTTCATTTATTAATTTTATTTACTTTATGCACACTATTTGTTTGATTTATTTTTCTTATTTTATTTATGTCCTATTTTTTCTTTTATGTATTTTATTCACTTCACTTATTTTATTTGTTATTTTATTTATATTATTTATTTTATTTCATTTGACTTATTTTTGTTATTTTATTTATTGTCTTTGTTATTTTATTTTTCTTATTTATTTCGTTCAATTTATTTTTATCCATTGCACTTATTGTATTTAGACTACTTTTGGTTGATATATATTTTTATTTTATTCCTTTATTTATGTTGTTTTATTTCTTCTATTTATTTTACTCACTTTACTTATTTTATTTGTTATTTTATTTAATTTATTTGTTATATTATTTATTTTATTTATTTCATTTCCTTTATTTTACTTATTTTGTTCACTCTACTAATTTAATTTACACTGTTTGTATGATTTATGTTTTCTATTTTATTCAATTCACTTATTTTATTTGTTATTTTATTTATTTTCTTTGTTATTTTATTTTCCTTATTTATTTCATTTTATTTATTTTTATTCATTTCACTTATTTTGTTTGTTTTTATTAATTTTACTTATTTTATTTACTCTATTTGTTTGATTTTTTTTTATTTTATTTTTTTATTTAAGTTGTTATATTTCTTTTATTTATTCTATTCGTTTCACTTAATATTTTATGTAAATTTTAGATATTAAATTTATTTAAATTTAAATAAATAAGAAAAATAAAATAACAACAAAAATAAATAATTGAACAAATAAAATAGCTGAAATGAATAAAATAAAAAAACAGAAGTTGTACAAATAGTGTAAATAAAATAAATAAATTTAATAATTAAAATTAATAAAACAATTAAAATAACAAATAATGTAAGTAAATGAATAAAATAAGAAATAAATAAACAATAAATTACAAATTTATTTATAAATTAAATTAAATTTAAATAAAGAAGAAAAATAAAATAACAAAAGAAAATAAATAAACTAACAAATAAAATAAGTAGAAGGAATGAAATAAAAAAAATAATAAATAAATAGAATAAATAAAAGAATGAATTATTTATATTTTTTATTTTATTCATTTCACTTATTTTATTTATTTAATATATTTTATTAATTTCAATTCTTAATTTTACTTATTTGCTATACACTGTTTGTTTGATTTGTATTTTTCTTAATGTAATTTGTTTAAGTTCTTTTATTTTTTTATTTCTTCTATTTATTTTGTTCACCTCACTTATTTTATTTTATTTATTTTATTTCATTTATCTATTTCCGTTATTTTTTTAATTTTACTTATTAATTATTTTATTTATGTTGTTTTATTTTTTTTTATTTATTTTATTCACTTTACTTATTTTATTTAATTTCAATCATTAATTTTTCAAACTTTATTTATACTATTTGTTTGATTTATATTTTTTATTTTATTTTCTTATGCATGTTGCTTTATTTCTTTTATATATTCTATTCAATTCACTTATTATTTTATGTACATTTTAAATAATAAAATTACTTATAAAATTATTCAAATTTAAATAATTAAGAAAAATCAAAATAACAAAGAAAATAAGTAAAATAAATAAAAAAAAATATAAATAGTATAAATATTGTATAAATTTAATAAGTAAATTTAATAATTGAAATTAATAAAACAAATAAAATAAGTGAAAGGAATGAAATGAAAAATAAATAAATAATAAATAAATAGAATAAACAAAAAAAAATAAATATTTATATTTTTTATTTTATTCATTTCACTTATTCTATTGATTTCATTTTTTTCATTCAATTTGTTTATTCTTATACATTATATTTATTTTTTTTTGTTTTATTTATTACATTTATTTTATTCACTTAACTAATTTTATTTACACTATTTGTTTGATTAATATTTTTCATTTCATTTTTTTATGTTGTTTAATTTTTTTATGTATTTTATTCACTTCACTTATTTTATTTGTTATTTTATTTATATTATTTATTTTATTTCATTTGACTTAGTTTTGTTATTTTATTTATTTTCTTTATTATTTTATTTTTCTTATTTATTTCATTTAATTTATTTTTATTTTATTTACAATATTTGTTTGATTAATATTTTTTTTCTTTCATTCATATTGTTTTATTTTGCTTTATTTATTCTATTCATTTCACTTACTATTTACGTACATTTCAATTAATAATAAATTTATTTCTAAATTAATTTAAATTTAAATAAATATAAGAAAACTAAAATAACAAATAAAATAGCTGAGATGAATAAAATAAAAATATGAATAGTTCAAGTAGTGTAAATAAAATAAATAAATTTAATAATTGAAATTAATAAAACTAATAAAATAACAAATAAAATAAGTGAAATGAATAAAATAAGAAGTAAATGAATAATAAATGAATAGAATATATCAAAGAAATAAAGATTTATATTTTTTATTTTATACATTTCACTAATTTTTTTTGCCATATTTATTACATTTAATTTATTCAGTTTAATAATTTTATTTACACTTTTTTATTTACACAAAATTATTTTATTTATGCTGTTTTTTTTTATTTTTTTTTTATTTTATTCACTTCACTTATTTTATTTATTTTATTTTTTTTTATTTTATTCACTACATTTATTTTATTTATTTTATTTCAATCATCAATTTTTCTTACTTTATTTAGACTATTTGTTTGATTTATATTTCATATTTTTTTCCTCATTTATGTTGTTTTATTTCTTTTATTTATTCTATTCATTTCACTTATTATTTATGCACATTTTAAATAATAAATTTATTTACAAATTTTTTAAAATTTAAATAAATAAGAAAAATAAAATAACAAAGAAAATAAATAATTTAATAAATAAAATAAAAAAATTTAATAATTGAAATAAATAATAAATAGAATAAATAAAAGAAAGAATTATTTACATTTTTTATTTTATTCATTTCGCTTATTTCATTTATTTAATATGTTTTATTAATTTCAATTATTAATTTTACTTATTTTTTTACACCGTTTGTTTGATTTGTTTTTTTTTATTTAATTAGTTTCATTTCTTTTATTTTTTTATTTCTTTTATTTTATTTCGTCTATTTATTTTATTCACTTCACTTATTTTATTTGTTATTTTATTAATTTTACTTATTAATTATTTTATTTATACTATTTAAAAAATTTTTTTTTTATTTCATTCACTTCACTTATTTTATTTATTTTATTTCAATCATTAATTTTCCTTATTTTATTTAGACTATTTGTTTGATTTATATTTTATATTTTTTTTCATTTATGTTTTATTTCTTTTATTTATTTTATTCATTTCACTTATTATCAATGTACATTTTAAGTAATAAATTTATTTATAAATTTTTAAAAATTTAAATAAATAAGAAAAATAAAATAACAAAGAAAATGAATAAATAAACTAATAAAATAAGAGAAATGAATAAATAAAATAATATAAATATTACAAATAGTGTAAATAAAATAAGTAAAATTAATAATTGAAATTAATAAAATAAATAAAATAACAAATAAAATAAGTGAAATGAATAAAATTAGAAATAAATGAATAATAAATTAATAGAATGAATAAAAGAAATAAAGATTTATATTTTTTATTTTATTCATTTCACTTATTTTATTTGTTCTTTTATTTGATTTATTTATTTTAATTATTAATTCTACTTATTTCATTTACACTTTTCGTACTATTTATATTTATTATTTTATTTCTTTCACTTATTTTATTTGTTATTCTATATATTTTCTTTTTTATTTTATGTTTCTTATTTATTTCGTTTCATTTATCAAATAAATATTTTCCAAATTCAGAACCGCCGCAATACTAATAAGCCAGAGATGCAACAACAGCAGTTACAACAGCAGTTACAACAGCCGCCACCGTTGCAACAACCACCGCCAATGCAACAGCAGACGCAACAACTACAGCTACAACAGCCGCCACCCTTGCAGCAACCACCGCTAATGCAACAGCAGACGCAACCACTGCAGCTACAACAACCGCCACCCTTGCCACAACCACCGCCTTCACAATTATTGCCAATGCAACAACAGCAACTGTCGATGCAACAACAGGAACTAAAAATGCAACAGCCGCCGATGCAACAACATCTGATGATGCAACAGGAGCCGGCAATGCAGCCTTTACAACTGCCGATGCAACAACAACTGCCATTGCAACAAGAACAGAAATTGCAACAACCGCAATCACAACGGTTGCCGATGCAACAGCAAATGAAATTGCAACAACTGCCAATGCAACCATTGCAATCACTACTGCCCATGCAGCAGCAGCCGCCGATGCAACCATTGCAATCGCAACTGCCAATGCAACAGCAGCCGCCGATGCAACCATTGCAATCGCAACTACAAATACAACAGCAGCTCCCGATGCAACAACAGCTGTCAACGCAACAGCAATTGCCGATACAACAACTACAAAACAATTTCCAACAACCCAGTTTTCAGCAACCTAGTTTCGCACAACTGCCTGCTCAATCTTCTTACTATCCGGCACCCCAGGGTACCTCGCATCAAGAAATCAAGGTAAGTTTAAAAAAAAAATATTAATCTACATTGAAAGAAAATAGATAAGAAATTTTAGTATAAATGTTACAATTTAGGGGAAAAGTACAAAGATGAGAAAAATTGACATAAAATGTATTAGACTTCAGAAAAGATATTTCAGAATTTGATGAATCAATTTCAAACTTAAATTACATGTATTTTACACCTTAGTACATTTACGAATTTTAATATAAGTTTTAGTATTTCTATAAACTGTTTTCTGAAATTTAATATATTTTATATGAATTTCTCTCATTTTGTCAAGTTTTCCTTAAAATGTAAAATTTATACTAAAATTTCGGAATTTCTTATTGAAATTTGATATAAATTTTCTTCAGTGTAAAATTGTACTTTAAATATTTTTCTGAAAAATATATTAATTCTACAGGAAACCATACAACAGCGACCGTCTTCCTCGGCCAGCGCTCCCAAAGTAAGTAAAAAAAATGAAATTATTAAAGCGTACTTGCGTTTGCGAAGACGAAAAATAGGCACCTCTTTACAATATTTTTTTCACAGCCATTTTAATTAAAATTTTAAAAACTTTTTTTATTCCTTGAAATACATTATTAAAATTACAAAAAGCAAGAATTATTTTGTTTTTTCATTGTTAACTACGATTCGTAGAGGGTGCCAAAGTAGAGGTTCTGAAAATTGTAAGGTTTTGCGGCACCCCCTGTGAAGCCACTCCTGACAATCTAAAATAAAAAAATCAATAAAAAAAGTTAAAAATTTTTTAATTAAAATGGCTGTGAAAAAAAATTATAAAAAGGCACCTATTTTTCGTCTTCGCAAACGCAAGTACGCCTTAATGTTTTAGAAAATTTGCAATGCAAATAGAGAATTAAAATAAATAAAAAAATAAATAAAATAAAAAATATAAGCAAAGTAAATCAAACAAATAAAATAGATAAAATAAGTCAAATGAATAAAAATAAATAGAATTAATAAACGAAATAAAAGAACATAAATAAAAAAATAAATAAAATAAGTGTAATGTATAAAGTAAAAAATATAAATAAAACAAATAGTATACGCAGAATCAGTAAAATCGATGAAATAAATAAAACAAATAAAATAAGTTAATTGAATAAGAATGAAGAAAATAAGTGAAGTGATTAAAATAAATATAAAAAGTAAAACAACATAAATAAAAAATTAAATACAATCATTAATTCAAAAATAAATAAATATCATAAATAAAAAATATATATCCAACAAATAGTGTAAATAAAATAAGTAAAATTATTAAAATAAATGAAATAAAGAGAACAAAATAAATAAAATAAGTGAAATGAATAAAAATAAATAAAATGAATGAATTAAAAAAAAGAAATGAAATAAATAAAAAAAATAAAATAAGTGAAATGAATAAAAATAAATAAAATGAAAGAATTAAATAAAAGAAATGAAATAAATAAAAAAAATAAAATAAGTGAAATGAATAAAATAAAAAATATAAATCAAACAAATATGAATAAAATAAATAAAATAAATAGAATAAATAAAATAACATTAATAAGACAAATAAATAATATTTAATTGTCTTATACATATAAATAATAATAATAATATTCCATTCTTATATTTCTTTTCGTTATAAATGTTTATTAATAATTTAATTTTTTTTAGGATTGGGCTGTTGAGCTTCGAAAATTAAAGCAAGAAGTCGATAGGGAGAGGTGGAAGCATGAACAGAGGTTGAACAGCATAGAAGTCTACATCAGGAAGCAGAAATTGAACGAGAGAAACAAGGAGAGGGAGAGACAAGGCTTAGATTGGGAAAAAGAAGACTGGGCAGAAGACAGAAGAGATAGGGGCGATAGGCGGCATTATCGGCGATTTTAATTTAGTTCATATTCGGTGGTAGTACAATCGTAACACAAACAAAGAAATCTAAATAAAAAGATGTGTCGAGATATGAAGAAAGGGACCTAAGAAGCCGAGTATTATCGACCAGCTGGTGAGATCCATCCCCACCATTTCACAGTCTCATGGTACACTGCGATGTAGTGGGAATGCCTTTCAACAGTCAACTTGTAATACTCGGCTTCTTAGGTCCCTTTCTTCATATCGCGACACATAAAAAATTTAAAATTCTCTTGTGATACGATTGTACTGTCCTTAACTTTCTATTTCATTTATGTTTTATCTGTTGCGGCAAAGGCGGCGTTTTTAATTTTGTTAATCTTTGGAGGCAGTACAACCAGTAAACAGAGGCAGTAACACAAACAGAGAAATCAAAATAACAATAATGAACAATTTCAAATTCTCTTGTGTTACGATTGTACTGTCCTCAATTTTCTATCCCAATTTGCATTCGTGTTATTCAATGGTCACATGTTTCTTAAGGTCATGTTATTCAGTGGTCACGTGATTGATGGAGAAAATTCTGCATATCTGTTGTGCAAGATTTCTCCTAACAGGAGTGGAATTTTTTAATAATATTTTAGGAGATGAAAGAGGACATGTTTTTTGAGGGCTCTCTGGTATTTATTTAATTTAAAAAAAAAAATAAATTTTTTTTATAATTATTGATTTTTTTTTATTGTGCAAGATTTCTCATAACAGGAGTGGAATTTTTTAATAATATTTTAAGAGGTGAAAGAGGACATGTTTTTTTAGGGCACTCTGGTATTTATTTCACATTTTGTTTAAAAAAATTTTTTATTGATTTTATAGATTGAATACGCGTTGTGAAAATTTTGTTGGTAATGTATCGATCCACAAAATTACTTTTGGATTGTGCAAGATATCTCCAAAGCAATGAAACATTCAAGAAAGATATTTTGAGAGAGTAAAAAAGGGATCTTTTTAAAAAGATCTGTGGTTAATTTGTATTGTTTTGTTGTCAAAAATTTCTTTTTCTTACTAATGTAATTATTATAATTAACGCAGGTTAGAACAGCGCCTCTCTCGCAAGTGAGTATTTTACAAATTAAAAACACAAACATCTGGCATTCACGTTATCAGTCGATAATGTAGAATGCCTATTATATATCTGCAAATAAAAATATTATTTCTCCCTAAATTTTTTTTTATTTTATGTCATTTCATAATTATTGGTTATTATTTAAATCGACATTCTCATAATGAAATTAAAAATATTGAAACATTTGTTCTGAATAATAAAAAAAGTCACAATTATTGATTGCAATACTTATGTATAAAAAATATTCCAAATTAAATGTAGAAGCTATATTTTACAATGTGAAAAAGGATTTGAGAATAAATTTCATTTGTTTCATTTATCTATTTATTTTGTATATTTTAATGATTTTATTTATTACATTCATTTCATTTATTCTATTTACTTATTTTGTTTATTTTACTTACTTTTTCTATTCCATTTCGCTTATTTATCTATTTATTTTGCTCATTTTATTGGTTTTATTTATATTTTTCATTCTACTTACTTTTTTTATTTTGTAATGATCTGAATTTTGAGCCAAAGGATTTGCTCGCCGGATGAGTCCGGGTCTTAAATTTTTGGAACTCTTGAGTTCTTTGCTCTCTTATAAAAAGTATAAAATAGTATTATCGTGATATGCAGGTAGGTAAAGTCAGTAACGAAGCGATAATTTAAACCTTCGAAAGCAGTTTTATTTAAATGTAAGAAAGAAACAATAAACAATAAAAGTAATAACAATAAAAATATTGACTAAAAAATATGGCTGCTTGATTAACTCTCATAACAATATATAAAAAATACAAAAATAGAAAATCCTAAACTAACTAAATTAACAGTAGTAAAAAATAAATGTAAAACTAACTAACTAGCTTAAATCTAAATGAAAGAAGTGGAAAAGAATAAAGAATGTAGAGAGAAGTGAGATGAAGAAGAATTTAGAAAAGGTGAGGGGATAGAGGAAAGAGAGAGAAAAGAAGCGAGACGGTACGCCGCTATGGTGCTGCATCGAGCTGCATTGGATCCGCCGCAATACTGTAAAAAGACAATATTTAGTTCTCGCCATTTATAATTTTCCCGGGGTGAAATGCTCAATAATAATTTCCGCGAGGGAGGTTCTAGAATACGCCCCTAGCTACGAGACGAGCGAAAACTAGGTTTCGTGCACGACTAGAGATTTCTTAATCAGGATTTCTAGATGCCGTTTCCGTACGACATTCATGCTCTACGCGAAGCTAGTGCGGAAAGAGAGAGAGAGGAAAGTTACAGGTTATTCTTCGCTCCAGATGTACCTCGAGTCGAAGAATAATACCTGGTGCATCAACTCGGTGAAGAGCGAGATGTACCTCGTCTTCACAGGGTCGGTTCTCCAGGAAATGGCGGGTCAGGATCGCGTCAGCCTTCCACGGATGTACCCCTGGTCAGACCTTGCGCGGCAGGTAAGAAAAGATGGAGGGCGAAGGGAGTTACTCTTGTACCAAGGTACTTGAGTACTACTCCTTCTGTAGGAATACATCCACCAGGTCGGCCCCAGATGTACCTGAGATACCGTCCTCGAGGATGAGGTAGGCAGGGCTAGCAGCACAGATGTACCTGTGGTCTGCCTGCCCTGGGGAGGATGATCTCATTCCTCAGGAGAGACGTACCTCACCCTCGGCGATAGATAAGAAAGGAAGAGAATAGGAGGAAAGGAGAGAGCTGCTGTCGTCCAGCCTCGAGATGTGCCTCGAGTCCGGTCGACGGCGAACTGAGGAAATTGTACGTGCAAGCAAGTATATACCGCTTGACGTTTCTACTGGGAGCTATGGCGCGAGTGAGAGAGACCACGTGCTGCGCGGCAAAGTATGCGCGCTCGGTACTCTCCTCCTGGCTGTCGAGCTGAGAGCTCAATCGTATAGAATATATATATTCATGCATTGAAATGATTTGAATATAATATGCTGACAAAATACTTTTCGTTTCGAATTAATATTTAAAATAAAAATGCTTTCGTTACATCCCCCCTACTAAAAAAGCGAATTCTAATGAGCGTCTTGGGGAATGTAATATGCAAAAAAATAAAGAGAAAAAAAAAAATAATTTTCAGTACCACTTACAAAATTTTTCTGGCTTTTCTAATGAATCCGTTGGTTCTCTCCAAGCGTAAAATCCACTTGCCATCGTTGACGGGCAACCGATAACGAGCGGGGCCAATCGGAACTTTAATCCATGGTCCTCCAGGAAGTTTCGAGATTTTAAATGGCAATTTTGAAAGTTCCTTTACCAGAGGAATTGGGTTTTCCTTCGAATTTTCAGCAGTGTTGTTATTTAGGTCAACTTCGTTGATGGTATCTTGGAGACTATTAAACAATTCTTCAAACGACTTCGGGCAATCTGACGATAATGGTTTTGGAGAAGGTAAGTTCTTTTTTACGATTATTGGGGTGGTAAGTAAAATGTCAGAAGTGATTTTGGGTTTATTAATTTTTTTCTTTTTAATAATTTGCGGTTTTTCTTTTTTAGGTGCAGTGTGAATCGGGTTAACTTTCTTCGGGCTTTTCATCTGCTTCATAATTTTATTTCTTGCGGTTAATTTGATCGAGGATAATTGTGTTGGGGTACGTTTGGTAATTTTACCACTCTTTTTAGGGGTAGGTTTAGCGGGCACAACTAATTTTGGGATACTTAAAATAGGTAATTTCGAATTTTGAATTTTTTTCTTAATTTTTTCATTTTTTTCTAAATTAATCTTTTCTTCTTCTTTTTTACAGATATTGAGCATGGTGTTTTCAAAATTTCCTTTATGGATGGACGGCGGTATTTCCACAATTTTCCTTTCCAGTTGAAAAAGTGGTGGTTTTTGAGTTGGAGCTAACACTTTACATTTTTCCGTAATTCGACCTGAATAGGGTTGTAGTGGAGCGATAATTTTTTCAGGTGGTTTAATTATATCAACTACCGATTTTTTTTCATCAAACATTTTTTGATAGGCGATGTCGAATTCGTATATCGAAATATTCAAATTGTTCATATCTAACGCGTCTTCTTTTATTTTCTCGCGCTCGAGCTGTGCTAAGCGTTTCAATGTTTCCATCGCGGGTGACTTTGAGGAACTATACACCTAATTCTAAGAAATAAGATTTATTTTTCTTTAGAGGTCTTTGACTTTAGAATTTTGGGGGGAAATTATATTATTGGTTGGAAATGTCGTCAATGAAGTTCTTCAGGTCCTTTAAATGAACATGACGAAAAATTTTCCCCTGTTCATTTACAACATCATAGATTACTGGAGAAATTTTTTTCTTTATTGTAAATGGGCCACTAAACTTTTCTAATAATTTCGCATTTTCTTTTTTCATTTTGTTTGATAAATGAAAATTTCTTTTAAAAACCTTATCTCCTACATTGGGTTTCCATTCTCTTTTACGTAAATTATAGTGTTTTTGTTGAATTTTGAAACTTTTGGCAAGGTTAATTCTAACTAATTCGAGGGCATTTTGAAGTTTTTCTATCCTTGTCTTTGAAGCGGTGGTTGTGTTTGAATTCAAGCGCGTGTCTTGAAAGCCTGGTGGGAGAAACTCTCGGCCGGCGGTAAGATAGGCAGGTGTGAAACCGGTCGAAGTGTGCTTGGCCGTGTTGTAAGCAAATTGAAGTTCCAACAGATGGCGGTCCCAGTCCGGTTTCTTAGCGTCGAGGTATTGTCTAAACATCGTCTTTACTACTTTATTTACTCTTTCTACTGGATTGCATTGTGGTGAGTAGGGTGGCGTAAGGCGATGAATTATACCAAAATCTTCCAAGAAAGATTTGAATTCTTTGCTAATAAATTGTCTACCATTATCTGAGACAATTTTTTTAGGACAACCATAGCGATAGAAAATTTCTTTTAGTGTTGAAATAACTAATACTGAAGTTGCTTTTCTTAAAGGTTTTAATTCAATCCACTTTGTAAATCGATCTT